CGAGCGCTCGGTGCGAGCACCCCCGATTGAGGGCTCGCCCCGACGGAGACTCCGACGGTGTTCGCAGGCGGCACCCGCGCCCAGGACCGGGGGGGCCAGTCCTGGCGGGCCTTCGCCTTCCCCGAACGCCCTCAGGGCGCTCCCTCTCTGGGAAGCGAAGCGGCCCTGCCTTGGCGAGAAGATCCTCCCGGCCAGTCCCGAGATACGTTTTGCCCGTTCGCTTATTCATTTATTTCCATTTACTTCTTGTCCAGCAGTTTCCAAGGCGATTATCAACTGAAGCAGATTTCTCCTCTTTTCCCTCCTCCTCCTTCTCGTCCTTCTCAAGTGCCCGTTGAAGGGGTGGCGCCCTCCATGACCGGGCAGACTGAACGGACTCAAATGATAGCCGTGGTGTCCGACGAGGGCTCCCTAGTGGAAGCGACCATCAGAGGGATCGCAGCCTCAGCCCTGGCCAAAAGCTTCCCTTCAAGCAGGAATAATGGGGACCGTGTGGTCCCTCAGATGTTTGCTGGACTACTGAGACACATCCAGACAACAAACGATGCCTATTCTCGAGCTGAGGAGACTTGCAGTCCAGCAACCCCTGGGGGAGGGCACGCGTTCCCCACCCTCCCTGCCCTAACAAGTTCCTGGATCGCGGGGAGCGAAGCCTTCCCTCGGAGCTCCTCGAAATCGTGCCCAGGAGCAGGGCACACACTTAATACGGGAGCGTCACTGTACGGGCGGGCGCATCCGTTGAAGAAGAGGGGAGCAGAGTCCTAAGTGCCAAGGTGCCAGGCCAAAGCAAGAGGGGCCGGAGGGCTACTTCTGCGGCTGGCAGCTGTCACTTTCCTCGCCCTGAAGGGGCCTCCTTGGGCCAAAACTCAAACGCCCTCGCCGCCACACCCACTCACACCCACTCGCCCCAGTAACGTTGTGGGCTGCTCGATTTTACCAGTCTCGGAATCCGAACCGGCGGGAACCCGCTCTGTGGGCTCGGACTTTTTGGTTCTTGCTGGCCCGATCCTTGACATCGAGCCTCCGGCAGTTCTCTGGGCGATCGCTGAAGCCGGCGGAAGGGCAGCTCGCCCAGGGCATGTTTACTCGGGAGCCCAGGTCAATGGGGTGTGTGGTGAGGAGGTAGGCTTAGAAAGAAGGGCCGGGCGTGCGATTGCCCACCTTTCCCGCTCTCCTTTCAGTCCAGCAAGCGAGCGAGAGGGTTGAGCATCCTCGACGCTCCTGTCCCGAAACTCGCTTTGGACCGGATCCTCAGTCAGGCGTTCTCGGGTGGCCTTCCTCCCTTCCCCGCCCCCTTCACCTCCAAGAAAACGCGTGGCCGGACTAGGATCTGGACCATCAGGAGCGGAGTGAGGGACGTTTAGCCTTTCGCTTTTGCTGCCCCCCCATGTTCTCCCCAAAACGGGGCGGGAGGGCTAATTTTAAGAGAGGCTTCCATTCTCACCTTATTCCGTGGCGGCTTCCTACACCCCACCGTCCCTTCCGCCGTCCCCAGCCAGCCCCCTTTGCTTCAGAAGATACTTGGGGGGTGGGGTGGAGGGGAAGTCCTCAATTTCAGCAAGTTCAATGGGACCCGGTGGGGCCCGAGCAGAAGCGCAGGGAAAGGACTCGGCGCCCTGCTATTCACACCTAGAACTCCTCCGGGCAGCCAGGCGTCGTCCCCCCCCCTCGGTGAAGGTGGGAAAATCCTGCACCCCCAATACCAGCCGAATCGTTGCTCAAAGCCTGCACCTTCAATTCCAGCCGAATCCTCCTCATTTGGCCACCGCTTAGATAACCTGGGGGACGAATCCTACAGCAATACAGCAAACCCACCCACCTCCCACTTGTGGGGGGGGGTGTTCCCTCCAAGGGTGTAACTGCCTGGGCCCCCTGTTTCTCTCTGTTCCCTGGTGGAGCCCGCAGGAAGGAGGGGCTTTTAACTCCGTCCTTCCTTGCTGGGCTTTAACGCAGCCGCAGCGCAGGAAGCCCACCCCTACGTTTTATAGGGCTTGTAAAGGGTTAGGATCCGTAACTGATTTGAGCATTGGAACCGGCTGAACCTCCTCGAGTTCATTAGCATATAAAATGCCCATAGCCCAACAATTTAAAAACAAAAACCCAAGCCATCAACTGGTTCTTTCTATAGTCCTTGTTGCAGTGAACAACTCACGAGCTGCCTCAGTCAGCCTAAATACTTTTATATGGGCTGGTGTTGCCACGTAGAAATTGCAGATTCCGGGCTGTTCCGGAACAAGTGGTTTGGAGATCGCATCTCATTTCTGAAACTGCATCGATAGAGGTTAGTCCCCCTGGTTTCGGCTCCCATAAGGAATGCCCAAGTGGAAATTGATCTCCATCCCTATTATCCGAGAGTTAAATGACATTGACTTCAGTGAAGCTCACTTCTGGGATGAGGAAAAGTGTTCTGAAAATCCCGCCCTGAGTTTCCAGCAGGCTGATCTGAAGGTGGCCGCGGTCCCTGACTGCTCTGAGATGGGCAGTATCTGGACGTGGTAGTTCAGACACTGGAAGGGAACATCAATGAAATCACCAGCAAAAGGGTCCTGATGGTCTCTTTCCATAAAAACATTAAAGCCATTTATGTCTAAGAGGCAGAATAAGGATGATACATTTCAGAAAAGGAACCGAGGATAGGAGAAAAGATGTGCCCCCAGACACATTTTAAAAATAAAAATAAAAGGAAAAATTGTGGAAGGACTTGTCCCAATGCGCATAGGGTGGGGGTGGTTTACGACAGCTGGTGGAGCTGTCCAGCAAACGGACCTCCTGAAAACGATGCGCTGTTTTCCCACTCCGAGAAATTCACGGACTGTTGATATGAACCTCAGTCTCCCCCTCTTAGTAAACGGCAGAGCTTAGCGAGGCTTAAAAACTCCCATTGATCCTACAAACCTCTCACTATGAAAGGATCAATCTATCCTCACAGAACTAGGAAGCCCACAGGATTTCTATAGGAATCAGCTGTGCAAGGCTTTGATTTGCATTACCTGGGTGGTATGTGCTTGAGGGCAACAGACC